GTCTGAGATGTGCAGATCCTCTCAGTGTTATGATTATGATAATGTTTGGGCAGCCATAGATGTGTCATGACACAGCAGTAAGGAGCTGTTTCTACCTGATCTGACCCTACAGTGACCTGATGAGCTCAGCTTAGATTCAAGTCATAAGCACAGTTATTTTGGTCAGTATTGAGAGCATGATTATTTACCACCATTATTCACTGACTTTGGAGGCATGATGCATTTATTGAACTTTTTTAAATCGTGGATTTCCTTCAATGTAATTAAACAGAAAAAAAATATATAAAAATAAATATTTTTAATTTTAATTATATATAATACACACTCGCACACATTAAAAAAAATTATATAAAATAAAACAATATTTTAATCTCAATTATGTTGTTTTCATAAGCCAAAATCATAATGGAAAATAAAGTTGATTTAATCGCCCAGCCCTAGCTCAGGTTCAGTCATTTAGATGCTACTACATGCATATTTCAGATTATTTGAAATAACATGTTGGTTTTAAGTTCGTTAACGTTCCTGTTTGATTGTGTAAGTCAGCGCTGAACGTTCAACACGCATGTTTTACTTCCTAATCACAGAATGCAGAGCCTGAGCTTCTGTCTGACTTTAGATGCAAGCGTTTTCCACCCAGATGGTGAAACTAGTCACTCATACACTATATCTGCTTCTGTGCAAACTATATTAACCCTTGTGCTGCTGAAAATCCTTTACCAAAGTGGTGTTCTCAGTCAAAAATGAGCGGCGATTTAAAAATTGCTTGTAAAGCTCTCGTTATGCCATATTATCACCAAATCTTGGATTGTCAACTTCATTTCTTTCAGTTAGCTCAGTTTTTGAGAAAAAGCATTTGAAGACAAAACAATAGTTTAATTTTGAAAGAAAGTAGTGTAAAGTGCTGCACACTGTGTGTTTGTGGGTTTATAGAGTAACGGCTGATATCGTGATGTCTCATGTGCATCAGAGCAGGAGTAAAGAGCTCCGTGTCATTAGTATAGAGACAATTAAAGAATCGTTAGAGTTCAGTGCTGCTCAATGAGCACAGCAGGTCACAATCGTTCCAGGCCGTTTTGTGCTGGAAATAGCAGTCGCACCCGCTGTGATGTGCTTTAGCAAACATCGATGGAGTCCGACTGTTAGAAGATGTGAGGATCACGTCCATCCAGAGTAGAGATAACAGATTACAGATTACAGATACATATGAAGCAGCTACCGATGCGATGCGATACTATTACGATGCAGTGCGATCCGATTTCGATTCGATTCGATACAATGTGATACAATGCAATACGATGCATTGGGGGGAAAAACGATGCTATGCAATTCAGATAGTTTGCTTTTATTTCTTTGGTTCAGACAGATAGCCGTGTCAGGACATGCCTCGGTCTTCGTAGTGTTGTTGTGATGCGTCAGCAGCGCGCTTGAGAAACAGTTTAGAGAGGAGAAATCAAATAGATCACAGATTATTGGTCACTTTCTAAACAATAAAAGTATAGTGCATCCACTAGTAATTATATATAAATCTTTTTTTACCGATGCAAATAAGTTAGAAACGATGCATCGCGATACAAATGCCGACTTGTAGCCGATATACACTTTTTAAACCGATGCATCGCATCGTTAACTTTTTATGCCGATGCACCGAGCGAATCGGGGAATCTTCCCATCCCTAATATATACACACACACACATATATGTATATATAAATTCATATACTCTTTAAACGTTTGGGGTCAGTAAGATTTTTTAAAGAAATTACTTAAATAATTTTCAAATAAATGCTGTTGTTTCTACTGCTAATCTATTCATTCATCAATGAATACGGAATAAATAAGCACAACAGTTTTCAACATAAGAAATGTAATAAGAAGATGATAATCAGACAAAATGTTTCTTGTGCACCAAAATAGCATATTAGAATGATTTCTGAAGGATCATGTGACACTAAAGACTGGGGTAATGGCTGCTGAAAATTTAGCATTGCCATCACATGAATAAATTACATTTTCGAACATACTAAAATAGGAAAGTGTTTTTTAATTGAAAAAACACTTCACACAATTTTTGCTGTATTTTGGTGAGCATAAGAGACTTCTTTCAAAAACATTAAAAAATCTGCAATTATAGTATTGTATTATCAAGAAAAGGGGAAAAAAGGAGGAGGAAAAAAATTCACACTCCAACGTTAAGTTACTTACGTGACAACAGCATTTGGATTCTTCTCGACGGCATATACACGCAGTTTCCTCTTAGCCTGTTTTGCAGCGCGAAGCGAAGCGTTTACCAGTGGACCACGGCCTGCACCTAACACCATCAAAACCCTGAAAAGAAAACTCAGTGTTGACATAGTCTGCCAAGCAAACAGCATATCACTGCAATCTCTAGTTCATTAAGAACTGACAATGGGACACCTGGAAGTGTGTGGAGTCACTTACTGCACATTGGTTTCCATCTGTTCTTCAGGAACTCTGTCCAGCAGACATCTATATACAGCCTGTTGGGAAAGATAATTCACAATTTTTTTTGTTTTCTCAAGTGGTGGCTTTCCTTCACTACAGTGATGGGTATTGCTACACTACCATTTACTAGTTACGAGTCAGTAAGATGCTTTTATTTGATAAAAAATACAGTTAAAACAGCAATACTGTGAAATATTGTTACAATTTAAAGAACTGGTTTATATTTTAATATGCAATTTATTTATGTGATGGCAAAGATTAATACTCAGCAACCATTATGCCATTCTTCGGTGTGAAGTCTTCAATGATTTTGTGCTCAAGAAATATTTACTATCATTATATATATATTATTATCAAGGCTGTGCTGGTTAATTTTTTAGAATCCTTCAATGAATAAAAAGTACAGAACAGAATAAAACAGAGATTTTTGTACATGTAAGTCTTAACTGTCACTTTTGATCAATTTAATGTGTCCTTGCTGAATAGAAGTTAATTTCTTTTGGAGTAAAAAAATCTTACTGACCCCAAGCTCTTGAACAGTAATGTATATGAATCCTAAGGTGCTCAAACGCTTGCTTAAGTGTTTTTAACACATTTCTATGTGGTTGCTAGGGTATTTCCTAGCTAAATGAACAAATTAAATGCTAAATGAATAAATGTAAAAGAGAACCCCCAACACTGTCATATTGTGACCCCTAGATATGCCTCAGTTTCCCCCTTTTTGCCTATTTTACCATTTAACATAAGATTTAATGATGCAACAAACACCACCAATGAGCATAAATAACTGTTGACCAAATGATGATAGATTCTGCTTTCCATTAGCACATCATTTTAACTCACCTGTTGGTACTGTGAATATTTGATGGGATCCTTTTCGAAAACTTCATACGTCTGTGATTCCAAATTGTCCATTAAAGGCTGATAAAACAATTAGGCATCACATTAGCATAACTGAAACCAAAAGAATCAATTCTGTGCTGAAAAACTCACTAGGCAAACGTTTATCCTTTGACAGACAGACCTGTAGTGGTGACTGAAGGTAATCTTCATAGCCTTTGGCGAAGTGCTCATAGGCATTAGGCGCTGGACGGTTTTGATTGAGGTACTCCAGATACTGCAGGTACGAGCGCAAGTCTTTCTCATTGTGGCGGTTTTCCCCTGTGAAAATAAACTGAGCCTCCAGCTAGGGAGACCCCAGACTGTTAGATAACCTCCCTGAATAGAATGAATGTGACATAATATTGGTAACATTTACCTTGAAGAGGCGGAAGATGATTCGCTGGTGGGCTTTTGAAAGCACTGGAAACCCTTTTTTATTGGTTAGAAATATGCTGGTGGGGAGAATGGCTGCTTTGATTGGCTCTCCAAGCCACTTGTCGATCAACGTGTCAGATGGCAGGTCTGCTTCAATTTCAATAGCTTTACAAAGAAGAAAAAGATATAAAACTATTAGTATTCACCGCTTAATTTTTCATAGGCAATTATAAGCACTTCACTTTTGAGTTTTTTGCTCTTACCAAGGCATATCCTCTTGTTATAATCACAGAGTGTTCTGAATGAGTGCCACCTGAAGAGGAAAAAGGAAATTAAATGAACAGAGGCCAAAGATTGCTTTGTTTTCCATGTAGTTGAGTGAATTAATCACACAGTAGACCCAAATATGGACTAGGAGAGAAAAAAAACACTCATATTCATCCATGGGATGTTTTAATTAGATATTTAATATATTTATTTAATTGAACAAATAGCTTTATTTCAGCTCCCTCACCATGCCCAGGTCTTCTCATCATTGCTGCCATCATCCATTTGTTTAAATGACTCGTTCTCGATGAGATCTTCACGCGTGTCCTCGGGAGCTAACAGTGGAACGCGTATCCAAAACTATGTAATTAAAAACAAATCAACACTACAAATTAACTAATTAATTCCTAATCAACAAAGAAAGCAGCATTACAACCAATTGGAAAAAAAAGCAAATGGATTTGTTTGTGCTTGCACACTGATGCTTTACACGTGGCTTAGAATTTTAATTGAGTTGTACTGTATACTGTGCCCTTATTGGAACAGAGGTTGTGTCTTTGTATTTTGTACAAATGTTTCTAATAACTTACTTTCAAGTAAGCCAGCATGATAGAAAACACTACCACTTAAAAGTTTGGGGTCAGTAAGATTTTTGCAATGTTTTTGAAAGAAATCTCACAAAGGATGTATTAATTTAATCAAAAATACTGTAAAACAGTAATATTGTAAAGTATTATAATAATTTAAAATACCTTTTTTCATAATTTAAAATGTAACTTATTTCTGTGATGCAAATCTGAGTTTTCAGCAGCCATTACTCCAATCTTCAGTGTCACATGATCCTTCAGAAATCATTCTAATATGCTGATTTGCTGCTCAAGAAACATTTTTTTTTTACTATCAATGTTGAAAACAGTTGTGAAGCTTAATATTTTTGTGGAAATATATATTTTTAAAAATAATTAAGCACATTATTGCGTTAAAATGACAGCCCAATAAATTTTGCAAAAGGATCAGATCACTTCATCACTCCATGGATAATGCATATAGTATTATTTTAATTAATAGATGGACAGCAATTGAAAATGATAAACAGTCTACTCACACCACTAATTAAATTTCCATCAGCGAAAAAAGAAAAAAGGAAGCAGCAGGGATGAAGATTATGCGTAAATGTTAGGCCCTTGGTGTATAGATAAACAAATAATGGAGTGTTCTGAGCATATTTGTTTTCATTCTATGCTACAGATTGCCATTACCATGCAAGAGTGGTGTCCTGTGTGGATGTGGTTGAGCAGGATTCGAGCCAGGTTGGCACAGTGTGGACCCCTTAGGGGGATCATGAAAGCTGGCAGCCCCAGATAAGCACAGAAATTGAGCTCCTGTACCAGTGCCTGCAGCAAGGGCACAAAAGACATTAGAAGGAGTGATCACATCAAAATAAACAACAAATCGGAGCGGCTTCCTCTTTGTTGGGCAGATCTCCAATAAATGGCCCTCGTTTGCATCTGACTCTTGATTAAAGCTACAATGACACTGCAGAATGTTTATCAAAAGCACAACAGGGTCATTGCATCGTGTATGCATCATTTGTGACACAACAATAGGTAACAGCAAATTAATAATATCTGCCTATCAGATTAGACAAGGAATATATTTAAAGAATCTGAAGAGAAAAATAAGGACCTCAAATATATAGTTAATTACAAAATAATAATAAAGAAGACATTGTGAACGTACTGCTTCTGAATTCCTGCGTTCTGTGGTCAACTCTGAGTCTGTCTCAATCCAGGGTGACAGCTTTCCCACGATAAGAGTGTTCCAATCTAATAAAGAAAGAATGGACATCTTATTACAAAGATATAAAAAGATAAAAATAAACTTAATGAGGAAGTGACATTAAAGGGTCTTATCACACAATCTTTAATCATTATATTTTGTCCCCTGAGGTTCGTTTAAAAGCTAGTTAAGGTTTTTGTGGCAAAAATAGTCATGATTTAGGTTTCATAACCACTTTCCACTCTCTTTCTGACCCTTTTTTTCCGCATCTATTCTATCTATTCTTTAATAGATTGCTTTAAGTCTGTATTAGAATGTGAAGTGTGACTTTATAGCATTTTACTCTTATCATTAATTCTTCTGGCCTTAATACTATCTATTTGACTTCCTCTAAATGATCTCACCATCATGGGTGGGACAAGTTTCTGAATACCAAATAGTCATTATTGATGTGCAAACGTAGGGCTGCCATGTATTAGTAATTTTTTTTATCTATCTGACATCAGAAATACGCAGATGTTTTGCAGTTTTGCTTCAACAAAAACTCTTTTTGGACTAGGTAGGAAGTTTTTGAGTTCTGACAGTTCCAATATGTTCTATATCAGTGGTTCCCAAACCTGTCCTGGAGGACCCCCTGCCCTGCACATTTTGTATGTCTCCCTAATCAGACACACCCAATTTAGTTCTTGCAGTCTCTACTAACGAGCTAATGAGTGGAATCAGGTGTGTTAGATAAGGGAGACATACAAAAGGTGTAGGGCAGGGGGGCCTCCAGGACAGGTTTGGGAACCACTGTTCTATATGTTTTCAAAGTACATTGATCTATCACTTCAAAAGATCCAGAAAACTTTCTTATGACATGATCCCTTTAAACCTCAAAAACATTTTTTCCCCTCAACTCACAGTATTGGATGAGCGAATATTTAGATGCACAGATTTTCTTATATCTCACCTCTGCCACATAACAGCAGGTCAGAGCGTGTTTGGGCTCCGGGCCGTGACTTAGCAGGGTCCCGTTCATACTCCCTTCGGAACCGCGGGTGGAAAAGCGGCATGCACAGGAAATCAAAGCTATAGGACAGAATGATATGCATTTAGACAAACAGACCACACAAAGAAAACAGATACTGGTGGTATTTCAAGTAAATGCCAAAAGTCTACAATGTCATCAAAGGGGAGGGGTCTTCCAATTTTGTCTTAGACTTTATTGATCCTTGATTAGGAATCACTAAAGTACATATTTTTAATTCAGAAACACCAAGCTTGTGTGGCATTACAAAACAAAAAGCGTATAAATACAGTGATAAATCATTTATAATACTATGATTTAGATTTTATTTAGCTGTCAAATGATCAGCCTCTCCCTTCAGGCTCACAATCCCCATCAGTCAATGAGGCCAGATCTTTAAATATAATGCATGCATCTCTAATCGCCTCCACTTTGAATAATAACTGAACAGATGTAAATTGTAATACGTCTGTATTCAGTAATAATTCTGCAACAATTTTTGTGCTGGAAAACGAACATGTCTCATCAACAAGACTGAATGAATCCACTCAAAAACATAAATATTAAGACGAACCAATAAAAAAATATAAACATCTATTCTGCAGGTGTTATAAAGGTTTCAAAAGAAATCCGAATGTTATTGCCGAAAACTGGTGTGCAAACGCATGTGTGAGTTAAAAGCAAACCTGAAGAAGCCGCTAACAGCTAGCACATGCTCATGTGCATCACGTGCAGCGACCTAGCCGAGCCAACTTCAAACTGAGCACACTTCACTTCATTTAGCCACAACGCTGATATAATTTGCCTGGTTACTGCGCCGAAAGCTCCCTTCGCTTACCCTAATTTGGCGACCGCCGCGAGGGTATCCGCCACTTCGGGAACACAACTCAAATCTCTCCCGCAGGAGACCCTGCTACCTGCACTGCCAGACGCCATCGTTAGGAGACGGGATGGGAGGGAAAATGAAACTGAGACAGGACTATAGAGAAACTGACGACATTTTGGTTCAATACAAGACTGCTTGCATTTTAGCAGCAAATGGGGGATAGATCCAAAATGGCGATTTCCTGAAACGCAGTTTCTCTTTCTCGTACCACCCTCTCGCGAGACTTTAGAACGAGATCAGACTACGTTATTCGTCCAATTCAATGCATATTGTACGCAGTATTATTATTATTTTTGTTAAATAAACAAAACCACTGGTAAATAAAACGCACCTTAGTATCGATATTTTTTGTTTGAGTATCGATACTTTCGATACTCGCGTCAGTGTCGATATATCGATACTTCGGATCGATACGCCCATCCCTACTACGGGGGCAGACGTGATGCTGCAGAAAACCCAAAGAGATGATGGGCTCACTGACGAAGTCGAATTTGCTCCAATAACTTTGAGAGAACGTTTAATTAGTTTTAAGGGGTTGAGTCGTTTATGTAATAAGCAGCTTGTTTTTGATACAACAGGATCATTCATTATGGACTGAGTAGCGATATCCACGGCAACGAATTATTTTAATTAAACTGAGCTCTTCTTATTTCCAGATTAAACCTGTGTGCCAAAAGGATTTTGCCCGGGAATTTTACAAATAATATTTGAAGGCTTTACTGTTGCCTGAAGTAGAATAGATATCCAAAACAGATTGAATTAGTTGCTCACATCTCTTACCCCAGCCACAAAATATCAGAACCAAATCACAAGAAATCACTTATCACTTAGATTTAAATACATTTATTAATAAATCTGATTCTGCAACATTGAATTGAAAGCTTTCAGTTTTATGACAGTCAACCATTGTTTGTGTATATCATAAAATTAAAACTGAAATAGAAATAAAAACACAATTCTCAGAGTGTATTCTATGTATTCAAATTTTAAAGACATGCCTCTTGTCCAGTGTGCCACCCTCTTTACACACTGTTTTGCTAATGGCTCCTGGTCGGAGGAAATAATTTATGAATCAAAACCACAAACAATCTTAAAACGTGCTGTTAAACCATGGTATCACCAAAATACTTTATTATTGTAATCAAATATTTGTAAATCATGAAAAAAGATTTAGGGAAATGGCAATACTCACCTGCATAAAAAAAAGCATTGTAAAAAACATTTAATCAAACCATTAAATAGTTTCATACACAGTTCGTTTGAATTTAGTGTTGTAATCCATATGGTTTATTTCACTATAAACCTTTTTGAAAATATTTCGTGAGGTTTGCATTTTAGTCCTTGTGTGTGTGTGTGTGTGGAAAAACAGACTGAGCACATTACACTCTCATCTCAGCATTTTCATGATTATGTTTGAAGAGTCGCTTCACTGTTGTGCCTCAGTGGTGACCACAGAAGCATATCAGGTATAGCCTAGTGTAGCAAAGATTTTTGCTGAGACATCACATGTGTATGTATGTGTGTGGGTGTGAATACTCTCCACTTCATATAAATCCTTGGCCTTAGAGCAGTCTTTTTTGTAAGTACGACTTCCATGGCTTCCAAGGCTCAACTCTGCACCAAATTTCTAGCCATTATCTCACTATAAATGGAAAAATGGCTCTTCAGGATGTTTGTGGTTTCCTGGAGACTCTTGATGACATCAGCCCATGCACTTACCTACCAAACGAGATGGGATACATGCGGAGGACACCGTTTGAGTTTGACAGAGATAGTGCTTTTCATTTTCTTCCCCCCCCTCAGCAGTGCAGCAGAAAAAACAGAGCACCAACTCTTTTCTCTTCAACTTTCTCCAGTCTGTCACCTCATCAACAACCCTTTCAGCTATCCCATGGTACCACAACTTTGGGTTTTATATTTCAGGATGGCGTGATAGCTGCTGCAGACACTCGCGCCAGCTGTAAAGGTCTAATTTGCTGCCCGATAAGTCAAAAGATTATGCCTATCCACTCTCACCTGGTGGTCAACACCTCGGGCAGCGGTGCCGATTGTATGCTGTGGGAACGGATTCTTACCCGTGAGATGAGGCTTTACCAGCTTCGCCATCGCAAGAGACTAAGCGTCAATGGGGCTGCAAAACTGCTCTCCATGATGCTTCATCCATTCAAAGGCACTAATGTGTGTGTGGCAGCTACTCTATGTGGATGGGATGGAGAAGAAACTCAAGAAACACTGCAGTCCTGCATGGAAATCGCAGATGTTAAGAAAGCAGTGGAACAGGATAGCAATGTATCCGCAATTTCAGATGAATCTGCTCAAGGTAGTGTGAAAATGGCCTCTATAAATGAGCAGGACGAGATCTCGAAGGACACTCAAGCACTGAATCCAACTGTGTCAGATCAAAATACAAAAAACGTTCAGTCTACTTTTGGAGGACGGTCTGGTCCCAGGGTGTGCTATGTTTGCAGTGATGGCCTGCAACTGAAAGGAGAGATAATATCAGTGGGCTCAGGGTCACCCTATGCGTACGCTGTGCTTGATGATGGTTGGAGATGGGGAATGACTGTGGATGAGGCAGTGGCACTGGCTCGGGAGGCTGTTTTCAGAGCCACTCACTGGGACGCCTACTCTGGGAATAATGTAGACCTTTTCCACATCACTGCCCATGGCTGGCGACGCAGACTAAGCGTCAATGGGGCTGCAAAACTGCTCTCCATGATGCTTCATCCATTCAAAGGCACTAATGTGTGTGTGGCAGCTACTCTATGTGGATGGGATGGAGAAGAAACTCAAGAAACACTGCAGTCCTGCATGGAAATCGCAGATGTTAAGAAAGCAGTGGAACAGGATAGCAATGTATCCGCAATTTCAGATGAATCTGCTCAAGGTAGTGTGAAAATGGCCTCTATAAATGAGCAGGACGAGATCTCGAAGGACACTCAAGCACTGAATCCAACTGTGTCAGATCAAAATACAAAAAACGTTCAGTCTACTTTTGGAGGACGGTCTGGTCCCAGGGTGTGCTATGTTTGCAGTGATGGCCTGCAACTGAAAGGAGAGATAATATCAGTGGGCTCAGGGTCACCCTATGCGTACGCTGTGCTTGATGATGGTTGGAGATGGGGAATGACTGTGGATGAGGCAGTGGCACTGGCTCGGGAGGCTGTTTTCAGAGCCACTCACTGGGACGCCTACTCTGGGAATAATGTAGACCTTTTCCACATCACTGCCCATGGCTGGCGACGCAGAGACAGAGAAGATCTGAAGGAGGAGTACTACAGAGAGAGGGAGAGAGAGAAGAAGAAGATCAAGGAGAGGGAGAAAGAGAGACAGAAAAGAGAGGGGGATGAGCTGGTTGAAGGGGAAGGTGATATATATTCAGTACACTGTGGATAGGGACACAAACTGTGGAAATACAAAAAGACATGGATGGAATGTGTATGTGATGGACAGAAATAGCAGTTGTGTGAGTAGAACAATGTCAGGCAGTTCACTTGATAGCACAGATAAAAAGAATCCACAATGCACAGGAAAATAAAACAAGTTCTCATAAACTCTTTGTATTTCAACCAAAAAATAAAATAGTTATCAATACACTGCATTTTTTTCAGATAAACAATTGTAACCACAAACACATTGGATTTAACTTGATATTGTAGCTAAGCACCAAGAATGGATTGATTTTGTATTTTAAATCAATATTATTCCACTTTAAAAAACAAATCTAGTCAACAAATTTAGTCCATGTACAATAATTGACAATGTAGCCTAAATGTGCAATAAATGTTGCCTTGTAAGTTAATGTGTGACTCAGCAATATTTTGATAAATCAATGAAACAACGGATTTAAAAAAAAGTCTAAACATTTGGATAAATAAGATAAAAAGAATCAACAATTTGATAATAAAAAAAGATCAAAAGATCATAAAAAGGCCAAACAAACAAACCCATTCAGATTTATGATCTGTCTAATCCTTGGAGACCCATTGATACTAATGATACTTTTTTTCTCTCTCATTGAAAGTGTTTGTGGGAAGCCATAGGCCTCTCTCTCTCTCTCTCTCTCTCTCTCTATATATATATATATGTATATATATATATATATATGTATATATAGTTTTGTAAAATTATTAAATGTCAAATTGTTAAAGACTGCATTTGTTGACACTATAATGTTGTCAGTGTAAGTGCTTGTTGCGTAACTTTATTAAGCTGTGACTTTCAATGTACTTTTTTCAAGTCAAAAACTGTCACTATGACACATTACAGAGTGTCAGCCACTTGTATGACTAGTTTAGGCTTATTTAGTAAAAAGTACTGTTTAATTGCTTTAAAGGGGTCATATGATGCGATTTCTCTTTGGAGTGTTACAAGCTAAGGAGGGGGCTTTGTAGAAAACGAAGCGTTTGAGAGAGGCGGGGCATAGAGGACCTACAATAATGTACAGTATTTGAAAAATAATGTGTTTTTTTAACATTAAAGCATGTCAACATATTCTGTTACACCAAATACACAAAATAATGATCTTTAAAAAAGCATCATATGACCCCTTTAAACAAGAGTCCCGCTAGCGGCGCTACTGTCGGTCATCCTAGGCGTTAGATGGCGATGCGGTGCCCATAAACTTTTGCAACTTCAGCATGTAACATACAAGAAGCAGAACGCTGCTTCTGGTCAATTATCCGAAACATGGCGCTGTCTAGTGTACTGCGGAGTGAGTCTGCGGATTTTGCAGATCGCTTTAACCAGCCCTTTGCACACGGTTGTGGCCTTAACCAGACGGATCTCGGCTTTGGAGCAGCACTGGATGAAAGTCTGAACTTCGCTGTGAAACCGCTGGATGAAGGGGATGAACCGGAGAGAAAAATCGAGTTTCTTCACGGCACGACCACCTTAGCATTCAAAGTGAGTTCGTTTAGCCAGCAGCTTAACTGCATCTTGCCAGTTTAAAAAACTGTTTACTCCACCTTACAATCAATATCGTCATATCCTAATAATTATGCCACATTCAGAAGCGTGTGCTTTTATAAAACTAACGTTACCTAAATGTTTATGCAATGTGTGTAATGAATAGAAAAAGGCTGAATGGAAAACTGACTAGAGCAAGAGCCTTTTTAGTTACTCACAAACGCTAAGTACGCCAGTGTTTCCTCATTTAACTGGTTTATTTACTCACGTAGTACTTTTGACAAGTTTTTATTGTATGAA